ATCTCAAGGGGGGGAGAGCCGACGGTCGATTACCGGCATGGTCTTCACGGCGAGAGTAGCCAGGTCGACGGAAGAAGTCCGGTGGTGAGCGGCAGTGACAGTCACTGACGGGAAGATGAATCATTTTAGGGATAAGGACTTATTTTAGAAAATTAGATAAGTGACAAGGACCTTTTTTGCAATTTCATAACTTTTGATATATTGCATTTAGTATTTGTGGCAAGTTCGAAATTTATTAAAAGTCCAACACATACACATTAATGATATATAAAATGCACAAAATTAAGTGAGAAAATGCACAGTAAATTTTGTAATTTGTAGTTTGTTAATATCATAGGCATTAATATGCAACTCGTAATACATTAATGTGCAACTGCAGTGCATTCTTTTTTACTGACTTGACCAAAACAAATTAAAATGTAACCGAAATAATCGCTTTATTAGTTCGATTAACCAAATTAATCTAAAAAAATGAAACAATTTATAATTTATATCATACAAATATATTTAGTAGTTTATTTAATATATTATATTAATATTTGGTTGAAAAGTTATAATATAAATTTTAAAAATATATTTTGTAGTTCGGTTCATTTTTGGTCGGTACATACAATAAAGTGCAATATCACATACACAAAATTGCAACCTGACAGTCATTAAAGTGCACGTTTTTTCGGCAGCTACGTGCAGTATGTAAGAACCAATACTTTCGTCTCGACTAAATTGAAACCAACGCTAATGTGCATTTCAATTTTATTTTTTTAATAATGTGTATGTAATTAAAATTACAGTGCATTTATCTAATTGTTTATACAATAAAAAATATATTTAGTACTTATAATTTTGTATTTAATATTTTATTTTATTAATTTAATTAACATGTGCGTTTGTTATGCTAAGGTGCAATATCTCTATCACAAAAGTGCAACCTGTTAGTCAATAATGTGCAATATTCCAATAACATTTTAATTTTATATTATTTTTGTTTAATATTTAATATTAATTTTGAAAATAACATAATATATGTATGTATAAAAATATTTAAAAATTACTAATGGTGTAATATCTCCTTGGTTAAATTAATAATCAAATTGTAGGTCTATTTTTCTTTCTTTTTTTGTTTTTTTTTTTT